TTATTAGAAAAAATCCAAGTTTTATTAATAATATTCACCCATTGAGCCATATAGGGAATAAATATATCAATATGTAGTAATTAATATATCTCTTAACATTTAACTAATTAATTATTTGACTGTTACTGCTTCACTCCTCTCATTGCTACCGTTTTTGCTCCTACATGGTGGTCCAAATTGCTTACTGACTTCTGAAAAATACGTTAACATTTTAAAGGGCCTTCCCTTGAACATGCTGCAAGCTGTCAGATATTTCAGATGGAAGGGAACAATTATTCCTCAGCCGGGAAATAATGCTTCTGGGTTTGCTTGAAGGTTTCCAGCCTCTAAGCAGTCACCGTTTTGATGTGTTGTTTAATGTTTTCTTCTTCCCTAGAGATTTCTCCTGCCACTCTTCACCAATCCACATCTACCATCCTTTTAAAAGTTAAAAAAAATCACAGCCCGCAAATGACTTTTTTGAATTATGGACTCTCTGGACTTAATGAAATTACGCAAACTCTGCCCCATTTGCTCAGTAACTACTCTCATAGACAAACATTTTGATTCAGGAAGTAAAGGAAGCATAAGGCAATTTTGGTTTGTAGGAGGAGCTCTGCACTATAAACCTGGATGGATATAGCATTGCCTGATCACACAAAGATGTAAGCAGTTTAAGGCCTTGACGTGCTCCCACTCGGTACACTCAAGGAACACCCCAGGGTCCTCATAAGATCTTCCCTCAAGCCTGACTTTGACCATCAGCAAACAATGCAGCAGTGTGATCGCTGATGTAGGCAGGAACAGGGTGTAAGATATGCTACTAACCTAATAAATAAATACACTTGCAGTCTATACTTACCGTATACAGAAATATGTTAAAGTATTAGGACAACACGTTACAAGGTTATACATACAACAGGAGGTTCAATTGTGATGGGAATTATGACTCAGCAGGAAGTATGGAAATAGAGAAATAATGGAGAAAAGACTGAGACAGGCCAGAGTAGAAATGAAACAGGAGGCCAAGACAGTACAGAAAAAGGAGTGCAGGACTTCTGGCCAGGAAGTACACTCTAAGTTCCAGTTCTGTCTTCAGAGGTGAGGACAGACTATGTTTTTGCTGAGAGAACAAACAACTCCCAAACTCACTGGTTTAAAGAAAAGTTTTTTTCTCTCATTTCACACTTCAAGACAATCACTAATTGCCCAGGTGCTTTACTCATCCTGCTTATTTAGACACTTGGGATGATTAAACAGTCATTTCCCTGAACAGATGCTGTCTGCCTCGCTAGTGGAAACGAGTTCAGGAAGATTTCACCACTGTGATCGAATGGTCAGCCCACAGTCATCCCATGGCCCTTCTCACAGCTCAGCCAGAATTAGACCCACTGTCCTACGCACTCACACGGGACCAAGATGCAGCATCCTACCTTACTACCAGTCAGAAAGGGAGGGGAATAGGAAAATATGGCACATAGACCAATGGGTAACCTCCACTGACTCTGAGTTATTAAACCCTAAATCCTGCTTCCTAACTCTGTAGGTAGTTGATAATAAGCAATTATTAAACATTTGTTAACCCCTAGTTTCCTTGCTATAAAATAACAATGAAACCACTTACCAGATGGGAATATTCAAATAATAACATGAGTTAACTTATAGGATCAGACTCACAGAGTACTGTATACAGTCAATACCCAGTGACACTGTTAAGTTCTCTATGGGCTGCTCTGAGTAGTCACCATTCTGGAGTCAGTTACAAATCTGGGAGACTTCAGGGAACTTTCTCACAAATGCACATGGCAATCAATAGTTACTGCATAATGCTCAACACCGAGCTTTCAGCTATAGACCAGCAGACAGAGTGGTGACTACTGCCTCCTAGTGAGTCTTTGATGGTAGGAGGCTGACCTAAATGAGGATGACAGCGACCTTCAGGAGACATGCTTTGGTTGGGCCAAGACTGATATGGGAACACCTGCCTGTGTTATGGAGGGGCAGGAGGGGCAGGCAGAGAACATCAGGTGTTTCCCTTGAAGCCACTGCAACATTGCTTTACTACCATCATTACCTTTATTTCTTTCTGGGCCTTTCTCCCCATCTCTGGCCTACTTTGCTTTTATATGCCTCTTACTCATCTCATTGATTCTTGTTCTTGGGAAAGTGACTTTACCTCTCTGGGTTTTAATAATATCATTGGATAAACTAGAAAAATATTCCCTGCATCCCAGGATTATTACCGAATATAATTACAACATTTAATGTATACAAAAATACTTCACCAATATAAATATGCAATGTTTATTTTACATCAATCTTTATTATATTTAGTATATATTAAAATTAGCATATATTAAAATATATACATATATACTAGAGTTATATTACATATTAATTGCTAGTATATTATGACTATATTAAAATATATTATGATAATTATGATACATATCAAAATATATTTTTTATTTATGCTAAATGTATATCATCTTGTTTCCATTTCCTTCTAGTAAGCTGATGGAACAAATGGAATCATTCATTCCACATGTATTTGTTGAGAGTTTACAATTTGCCACAAGCTGTTGTAGGTGCTGTGGTACAGCAAAACAGGTGGTGGTTCACATCATAATGGATGGAAGCACCCAACAAACTAATAAGTAAGTGCAACATATATCTTGACAAATGGTGATGAGTTCTGTGGATGAAAATAAAAAAGGAGAGATAGGAAATGTATATGGTTGTTCCGTTTGCAATTATGGTTTGGGAAATTCTCACCAATAAAGTAGCATATAATCCCAACTGGAATAGGAATCAGTGGAAAAAGGATGTCCAGGTATTCCTGGGAACCAAGTAATGACTGATACAAACAAAAAATAAGGCTATAACGAAATGTGTCTTCAAGGTCTTGGGGAAAGAAAAGTAGTCGTTGGGTAGAGGGTTGATAGTGAGCAGGGAGTATCTGGTGGGGATTTTGAGGAACTTGCACAATTTACAGTGCTTCATCGCTCCTACCAAATACACACTTCAACACACACACTCACAAAATGCCTGTTAGAGCTTAATTTCATCACTGTTTCAACTTCATTTGGAAGTTAGTTATTACCATGCCATTCTCTGCCTTTCTGCTTCTAAGTACCAGCAATCATATATTATATCTTATTTTTTAAAGTTAAAGACTTAAAACAATGGAAAACATTGAAAGTGACTTTGTGCATTTTTGGTGGGTAATAGTGTTTCTAAAAAACATTTGACTTATTGTGTTGTTTCTCTTTTAAAAAGTTTATTAAATCTCACAGCAATGCATAATAAGTAACTTACCTTCACCAGCCAAATTTAATTCAAAATAGTTTGTTTCTAAATGTACACTAATACATAAAACCTGTGGTATTATATTTAGCAGGAGAACAATCAAAAAAGCATAGTGAGGCATTCTACCTGTCATTTTTCTGCCATTGATTCAGCTAAATAGTATCTACTGTGTCCATGACATCGGAAATTAAAGGATTAGAAAGGCATAGTTTCTGACCTCAAGACACACAACTTAGGGCAGGCAAACTGTGCAGAATAAATATTCATTGGCTATGTAACAGTATGAGCCAATATGTTGTATTAATAATATGTTTTTGAGAGCTTTCATAAAGGAGTTATTATTTCTAAGCTTTAGGCTGGGATAAAACTGATTGTTAGTCTATGAGGTTGGGAACATAAGTGATAATTGAAAGATAGTGGAACAAAGCCAATTCTCCAGTTTCATTTATCCAGTCTAGAAAGTTTAAGAACTTATTTACTTTCATATGTGACTGACTTCTACAGTGATTTTTGACACTGAATCATGTTTTTACATTTCACTTATTTTCTTTGTTCTGGCTATCAAAACTATGCTTCATATTATTTCTAGCTGATTAATATATTTAATAAATGCATGCATTCAAAAAAAATCCCTTAACATTTCTAAGAGTTTTGATTTCTCATTTATAAAATGAAAATAGATGCCTCTTCACAGATTATTTTGAAGATTAAATAAAATAGTACATTTAAGAGCTTAGCCTAATGTCTGACACATAAAAATCATAATAAACATTAACTATTTTATACACTATTCTAATATAATGAAAGAATTTCAGCAAAAATATATGTACTATAGATGCCAGTAGCATGTATTGAATGTAAGGAAGAAAAATCAATCTACTTGTATTTGTTCATTTCAAAGGTGTTTTTTAAAGACAAATAGCAAAAGAAATTTAAAATATGTATATTCTCCCAGAACTAACATGCTAGTTTTTACCTTTTATCTACTTTATATGAAAATCAAATGCATTATAAACTTTTATTTGATTGAATAAAAAGTTGCTTTAGAACGTTATTTGCAGAACCATGATTTCTTACTAAAATAAAATCACTAGCTTAATTTGAAGTATGCAATTTATATAATTTATAGTATTCTTAAATGTCAATTTACTTCATACTTGAAAATGCTCAACATAAAGAAGTGAAGAATTTCCCTAACATTATACAACCCAGAATTATGATTTTTGATGAAATTAAAGTATCATCTAAAGATTTCTATAAAAGCTGCTCCTTTGCCAACCTGTGTATTTACAGATGGTTCAGATGTTCTTTTGTGTTTATGGGAAGTTCAAGAATATAACACTTTGCTTTAGTTCGTGAGGTTCGAAACTTAAAAATTAATTTGGAAATAACAGAAAATATCTGGTTGATTAGGTCTTAAGATATTTATTTCTATAAATAGATTAATATTACTTCATGCAAATTTTAATGATATATATATATTTAAATGATCTGTCTGTCTCTATACTTTGTTAGGAAGTATTTAATTATTCTAACTGTAAATTTACAAAATAACAACCATTTCAGGTTTTAAAATGTACATTTTTATATGGAAATTATATTCTGAGAGCATGTTCTGAAATAGGTGCTCCTAAGTGAGTAATAAACCAGACAACTAATAGTTTCGTTTGTAATTGCGAGGTGCTATGAGCAGATTTAGAAAGTGACTGTACCTTGTGTCTCAATCTTATTGGAGGTTGATGGGATGTAAGGCCATATCCTGCTTCTAGGGGTGGCCTTCCTTCAGACTCCAGAAAAACGAATCCAAGAACTAAAACAGTTGACCAGCACTTAAACATCCTTACTGCTTTTCACCTGTGGAAATAAACAGTGAAAGTAATCAGAAAAAGCCTTCTATAGTGAAGAAAGTTATCAAGAAATACCCAATAGTGTGTACAAATCTCCATAGGTCTAATCAAAACTTGCTAGCAGTTGCCCACTGAATACACAATAAATAGGTAGCATCTCCAAATAAAGATCATGATCCCCTTGATCAGAACAAATATTGTTTGTTTGTTTTTTCATGCACACAGCCTCACCCAACATTAAATAAGTAGAACTACAGGGGCCAATATATGTGTGTTGAACGAAAAATTGAAAAGAGGTCAAAATAAAATGAAAAAAAAGAGAGAAACCATTAAACTATGGCTACAAAGCATCTATACAGAATATAATTATCAATGTATTTATAAATCTTGAACTCCTCTTAGAATACATGTGATGAATAACATTTAATGAAATACAGCTGTTAGAACTCAAGACTGTTGAGAGGTTGATAAGAAAGTCTTCTATAGTAGGCACTTAAACTGAGGTACAACAGAAATTATGCAAATGAGTTATAATGAGTTACACATGCATTTTTCCAATAGTATCTAAAAAGACATTTCCTAGAGACTTGCTTTTAAGTGTTTTAAAGTAAAAGTTCTGTAACTCTTTCCACTGGTCTATGTTTTTGGATATACCAGAGAAGTTGTAAAATGGTACACATTTATTATCATAAACTCTAAATCCTCTTCCAAACAATAAAATCTATGTTTCGAGTTCAACTATATTCCACTTTACTAGTCTCATCAATTCATCTCTGTCCCTATTGTGACAATAAATAGGAGAGTGCTTTCTCCTCTGTCTAATGCAATCTGTATGTCTGAAATCTTGAGAAACTACTAATTGATTAACTCTGCTATTCACTATGTCTTAAACTCTCAACTATTTGTTTCCAGCTTTAAACATGATCAAATCAACAATGTTTCAAGGTAATTTCTCCCCTTTGCTTTCTGAAAGAGGTGTATATCCCATTCTATTGATTTTCTGAACCTAGCCCACTTGAAACATGCCTCTGTCCTCATCACTCTATCAAAGTAACTTTTTTTTCAAGGAATGTCACTTTGCTTGGTGTCTGTGATAACCCCTTTCTCTCCTGTTTCTTTAGAATTCATGAAAACTCTTTCTCAGACCTTTTGTAAGTTTATCCAACTCTTTACTTCACCATTAAATATTATCTTTGGTCAAATCTCATTGCTAGCCACATATTCTGTTCCACATGCCTAGCCAGACATTCAACATCGTCTATGGTTGTATTTACAGGTATCCCCCGCATTTTGAAAATTTGTGTCACACCACTTTGCTTTTATGAGTGACTTGTACTGTAGTACTTGTTTTCACTAACTCAAAGAAATCCAAAGAGGATTTTTGGTTTTACAAAAAAGGACGAGAAAGGAAAATCGCATTCAGCATGTTTTGCAGTGAACTGTCACAGAGGCTTCCACCCCTGAGCATCAGGAGAGACGCCACAAAGCTCCTTCTCCAGAACCACACTCAGTATCTCAGCATCAACCACCACAGCTTTGAAGTGTATCTATGAGCATTTGTGCTTTACCTCTATTTATTTTGTGCAACTGTTAGCAAAACGTATCCTAAGTTATAAGAAAAGCCTAAGAAAGTTTTTTTCTTTTTTGAAAGGGTCTAGGAACACTAAAAAAAATTCCATCTGAATTCATGGTAACTGCTTCTTCAATTTACCCCATTTTAGCTTATGAAAGTTTTTGTAGGAATACTCTACTTTCAGATATGGAGGAAACCTGTACATTGTTTCTCATCCAGTCTCCAGATTGGTGTAATTAACCTATTTAACAGCTCTACCTTCATTCAAAAGCAACTCCTCATAGTGTACACACTCTCACATAAACCCACGCTTTCCTAGATCTTCATTTACCCGTTTATTCAAGCCAGAAACAAGAGACATCCTGGACACCTTTGTCTCCTTTACTCTTCATATTAAACCCATCTCTAAGTTCTGTTCACAACCCTAGTTCAAGCGAACCACCCACTTCTCCCCTAAACTGCCTCAGTTGCGTCCTTCTTGGCCTTCCACGTTTATGCCCATGACACGTAACCCATTCCCCACAGCCTCAGCGATCATGTCAACTTCAAACTCCCTGATGCCACTGCCCTTGTGCACTCATTGACCATTAAGATTAAAAAAGAAAAGACACTGACAGAGCCTACCAAGTCCAGACTCTGCACGCTTTTCTCTTCCTGAGTAACTGCCCTGCAGCCACAGAGACCTTCATTGAGTTCTTGGAACATGTTGGTCCGTTCTTACTATAAAATTTTTGTACACTATTTCCTCCACTTGAAATATGCCTTTTTCCTCACTATTTATCACCCCAAAACCTTCACATATCAAGCATATCCTTTAAGAATCCCTCCCCAGAACACAAGACTGACTTACATTTCTTACTCACATTCACAGATCAGTTTTCCTTCATTTTAGAGCATCTGCTTGTAATTATACATCATTAATATGTTTGCCTGAGTGAGGCTGGCTTTCTCCACTGGATTATGTATATGTCTTCTTCAAATTTCATGAATGCAGGACCTGGTGTGTGTGTGTGTGTGTGTGTGTGTGTGTGTGTGTGTGTGTGTGCGCATGCACACATCGTTTCAGCATATACCGTTTGGGCTGAGCAAATCGTCTGCCACCTACTAGACCCTCAATAAATGAATGAACAAATGAATGTCATCCTGAATTCAAGGATAAAAGAAAGATCATGTTTCCCTACACTCTGACAATGTTGAAAGTAATTCCTATTCCCACTACTGCTATGAAACATAGAAGATTAACCCAAGAAAACTAAATATTTTCATTTGCATTCCACTCCTTTGCTGTCATTTTGATGCATTGTCTAACCCTTCTCTCAGAGGTAAGTATTTGTTTACAAGACAACTGGATGGAATATTTTAAAGCCAAGATAGAGCCCAAGAATCAAGCAAACAGGGCCAACTCAGGTGAAGGGATATTTTAAAGGGCCCTGAATATTATTCCTTCTGCTGTCAACCAGGAAAACACATGGCAACGACCCTGTCTCATTATGGCCCTGGGTAAATGTGAGGTCATCGATTTCCTAAAAATGCTCATTTAAGAGCTTGGAGCTTCTTTGTTTCAGTCCTCTTTCTTTTTCCCTCCTCCCCTGTTTTCTCCGCCCACCCCCACATATATATATATATATGTGTGTGTGTGTGTGTGTATTTAAGCCATATGTATATATATATGTGTGTGTATATATATATATATATATATGGCTACAATTATTTCATATACTATAAAATATAGAGCAAGTGAGCAATTAAGTAATTAATTTTAATAGATGACTAAAAATCTCATGAATCTTGGGTGAGTAAACTTCCACACATTAATAATTATATTAGCAATTTCCTGAAATATTTTCCCTGCCAAAAGGCAATAGGTTAGCAATACCTTCTTTAAGAAATTTCACTAAAAGTCAATAAAAAACATGTCAGCATATAAATCTTCAGTGCAGTATATGGAACCTACTTATACTATTTAAATCTATTTCTCTGATATTATTAGCTATGATTGTTTACATCGATAGTCTTACGATTTTCAAGTCTAAAATTTCCTAATAATACCAAGTTATACAAAAGTAAAAATACAAATACTTTATTTCAGCAAAAATTGTCATACAACTGGAGTGATTTCCTTGGTATCACAGATATAGGACAACCGAACTAATATTAAAACTCAGATAACATTTTTTTTTTTAAGGAGAACTCTGATTTCTATTATAGATAGGAATTTGAGCTCAGCACTGTAGTGTTAGACAAGACAAAAGACAGTACTAGTTTCTGGGCTTATCTTCTGTGAACGGCTACCTTGTAAGGTTTTCTCTGTTAAAATATTACTAAGAAAAATAATTGAATCTAATCACACAGTAATCAATAAGGAACCTAAACAAAAAGATGACTCTTCTTGATGGATGCTCAGAAAATAATTATCACCTTCTTATTTCTTTTCCGCTATGGGATCCAAAGATGTCATTTCTCTATCTTTAAAACTTAACTCATGTACAGAAGGTGTTCTGGAAATTGTTGGTAAATCAGCAGTAATCAATCCCATGATACACAGACTCGTGATCTCACCCTCTCAGTATAGTAACCTCTGACAACCTGTTAAATTTTCCTAATTAATTGACAGTTTGTTGAAAGCTCAGTAAGAACACTGAAAAGCATGTGACTAAAACAAACCAGCTTGAACAGATGGTGCAGTCACGACCCTGTGACTTTTCCTCGTAACCTCAACATTTATATGGAAGCATCAGAAAACAACCTTATTTATTAGAGAAAACGCTCAATGCATATGTATCTAAAAAGTTTCTGCATAACACTAGGTTTAATAAAATTAGACTTGAAAATGGGGGTGGACACAAATTTCTTCCCTTCAAAAATATAGTATCTTTCTCTGGATGAAAACTTTTTTTTCATTATATGGTGTAACATACCATGCTGCTTATGGTGGGAGGATTTAGAATGGCTACATTATTTAGTGGATTCAAATTCACAGGATTTTGACTTGTTTACACATTCTCTAGAATCTCACTTCTAACCATCGGGAAGACAAAGCGAAGTATTAAAGTGCTGCCTTAGAAACGAAAGGGGGCATTCGAGAAGGGGAAGGGGACCGCGGTATCATACCCAGGAACGAAAAGAATGCAAGGTGAGGCAGATTCCCCTCATCACCACGTGCTGCAGAGAAGGTAAGTGTCCTGGAGGATCCACCGAGCACCCTCACTGCCTCTCCCTCCCTCCCAGAAAACTGCTCTAGATCTTCCAAGAAAGGCACAGCCACTTCCTCTGCAGCTCTTCCCGTCCATCTCACCTGGGCCCTGCTGCTCCGTGCTGCCGTTTGTTTAGTGTCTCCCTTGTGTTTCCTTTCACCTCGAACTGTGGTTATTGATTTAAGAAGGCTAACATCCTTATATAGATACAGAAGGCAGGACATCAAGCAGGTTCTGTCA